TGCCTCAAGAGTGAGTGGGGGGGGGGTGCTGGGGGCTGGTGGGGGTTGTGGTGGTAGTTGGAGTGATGTCATTTAATTTCACACCTGATTTATTACTTTAACAATACATTTTTGAGTTGAGTTTAATTGATAGGAATGAGTGACTAAACATTTTTGGGAGGATTTATTTATATTAACTTACTTCTTTTATTAAGACATGCTGTTAGGATTTACAGTGCAGGATAATCGTACATTTTCATATTGTCCCATGCCTAACACCTTCCCCCATGCCCAAAGATTAAAGAGTGTGTTATTTAAAAAGTGTACCACGAATCAATTCATTTAGTTTGATTGCCTGAATCAGCTATCGTCAACGCTATTTATTCTCACCAGGTCGACACTTAAATCCCAAGATGCACCTTGTTTGAACCAACCCGACAGCATCCAATCAAGATAGAGAGAATTATGAAGAACTAAATGATAAAGATTTTCTTTTGCATACAAAAACTTGAAACTTGTGAGTTGCAGAACAATAACTTCGTCCCACCTCTGTTTTGTACAGTATATTGTATATTCCATGTTTCTTAATGAATGCAGGTGTTTTTTTAAATATATGAGAGCATTTGTATGTGTGTGTCTTCCAGGCTGATAAACGCGAGTGTGTGGAAGACAAAGAAGACATAGAAGGAAACCTGCTGAGACCGGCCGGTCTGTCTCTGAGAGGAGCCACGTTCACCCTGAGGATCTTCAGAGCTGAAGACCTGCCACAAAGTCAGTCTCTAGTGTGTGTTTATTGTTTATTCACATGCTTAAAAGGCAAGGATTGAGAGTTTTTTAATGTTTTTTGTCTTGTCTGCAGTGGACGACGCCTTCATGGATGGGATGAGGCAGATTCTTGGGTTCGACAGCAACAGGAAGAACCTGGTGGATCCTCTGGTGGAGATCCACTTTGCTGGCAAAACTGTGCGTATGACTTCCAACAACTTCCATCAAAGTCATTTGATCCGGACAGCTGTTCATCCAAAACTCAACATTAAGTACAGAACCTAACCATTTAAGATGTATTGCGTTTTTTTTTTATTTTCAGGTCTGCACAAAGATTCTGGAGAAAAACGCAAATCCACAGTGGAACCAGAGTCTGAGCATGCCTATTAGGGTGAGACACAAAAACACAGAATGCAAACATATAGTACGTAATATTGAGCTACCGAGACTGATTTACGGATCATTATACATTTCGTGCTTTCTTTTCCCCTCCCAGTTTCCCTCCATGTGTGAGAAGATGAGGATCAGAATTCTGGACTGGTGAATTCTTGCTGATATATCTTTATTTTGACATTTTGTTTGATCAAACTGACTAAATATAACAGCAACTTAGAGTATGTCTTTAGTTTAGAGCAGGGGTTTCCAAAGCCTGACGAGATCAAGACAACTGTATTAAGCTGTGGGCTACAACTTTGATTTGAATACGATTTGTTTACATTCTGGCAAACTGGCACCATTAAAAGTATGCCGAATCAGCTATTAGCAATTTCTGGTTGTAATGTATCCATGAATGTACAGACAACTCCTCCTTCAACTCTCCCATGGCCCTCCTGGGCAGTTTGAAAACCTCTGGTTTATAGTACTACATTTTAATTCATGTCACCATTTGGCTTTAAAATAATCTGTCCGAGCTTTGGGTTTTTCTCTTACTTCCTCCTTCCAGGGACAGAGCCAGTCACAACGATGTCATCGGCACCACCCACCTCTGCATGTCTAAGATCTCGGCCCCCGGAGGAGACATAGATGGTAAGAAACTAGTTGAAACTGGTCTGAACTGGACTGGACCCGACCAGGTTGTTTTAGACTGGTTTAGACTTGAATTGGCTGGTTTTTGTCTCGTCTGGTTTAGTTTAAGCTACTATGATGTTTATATAGTTTGTTAAAACAAACCAGATTTGTGAAACCAAAGTCACATGAATCGAAGGGTAAAGATTTATTAGTTTACATTTGAAAGTTTCAGTTAGGCTCCAAACTGGTTGGTAGGTTGATAAGTTACCTTTCGAGTCTGGAACACGTTGGGTTGATCTCTACCTGTTCGGTAGCTAATGCTAACTGGCAGCTGTCTGCAGATGTCGGGCTGATGTCAACAAACACAACCAACCGGAGCCGATAAATTAGAGCGCCGACTTTTCTGATTATTTAACTACTTAGCTGAAGCATAGCACTGACAGTCCTGCAGGTCTTCTGTAAGCTGTAAACTTCTCCAAATCGTATCTTAATTCATCAGTTCTGAGTGACTCTGCATGGTCAGGGTTGACTGCAGACCTTATATTTTAAGCTATGTGGTCCCAGAGTGTTGCTCTTAATTAGACCAGTCTGACCCAGTTAAGCTCACAGAACAGGACTGTACTGGTGTGATATGGAGAACAGAAACAGTTTAGATAAACCCAGTGTGCATCCATTTGCAATTTAATTGTTAAAGTCTGTGTGCACCAAGTCTGTACTTTTCTGTACGAGTTTTTAAATCTGTGATCCAATAAAAAACGGAGTCGTCAAGCAATGAGGATGATTTTGTGGTCCTCTCACTTGAAAGTAGAAGAAGGAAATATTGGGTGCAAGGTGTCAAGAACAAGGAGAGTTTTACCTGTTGATAAAGGAGCTGTCTCCTCCTGCAAGGCCTCCTTTTCCTCCAGAAAATCAAACCTGTTCCTTTAATGACTGACAAAGGTTTTGGATGGATAATACAGTACAGACTTAGTGTGCAGCGCCCTTTAGTGATGAAGTCTTGTGTGAGAACTGAAAGTTGGATTCGAATCTATAAATCTCAGGTGTTGAACCAGCAGACGGATCTGTGGTTTTGTGAAAGTAACAAAGCATGGAGTTTCTACTTTTCAGTGACGTGCATGAAGACTAACTTGTTTGTGTGCTGAACACTGACGCTGCTTGAGTGTTCGGTCCTCACAGTCTTTCGTCCCATTTGAAGACGCAATGCATGAGTTTTGCTCACTGTGTGTGTGACATTTCTTCTTTGTCTCGGAAACATCTGGCAGCTTTATTCAGGGTCACCATGGCCGAACAAGTCAGAATACGTGTTTAAGTTGTATTTTGATTGGATTTCATTTAATGTCCAACACAAATGAGAGAAAATGGTCAATAATAACCAGTATTTTGCTGATTTGGTGGTTGTGTTGGTAACATTAAAGTCCAAAACTTT